AATGGAATATAATATTCATTAGTGTATAATCACCTGAAAATAAGAATTATTGTGTTTTCATTACCTCACAACAAGCTGTTTTTATCTACATAGGGAGCGGGTCCTGTTCTACAGAGTCCACCATGTTTCTACAGTAGCCCAGAACGGCTAACACTGGCTGTAGACAGGGCCGTTATTTGCAAGTTTTATGAGTAGTTTCTCCTCCACACTTGGAACACTCTCTGTAAATAATGTTATAAGGAGTTAGGTCTATACCTGCTCTATTTGAAAAAAGTGTCCTGAGATAACTTCTGTTATGAATTGAACCTATACAAATAAAATTGAATTGAATTGAATTGAATTGAAAATGATTGTCTGGAAACAGCTGACAGCACAAGAATGGGCTGTTTACAAATAAGCGATGAAACCAGCTGAAGTGGAAGCACTGGAGACACACACACAAACAGATCATTTGTACTCACTCTGTTGGAGATAGTACATGGTACCCATCCCTCCACCAGTCAGCAAGGTGGTGAAGATGGTGAGCTGCTGCAGCTTACTGGTGGAAACCCTCATCTTTGCTTACTTCCTTGTAAGGCTGCACAGACACACACTGGTCTGGTCAGGTCAGAAAAAGGTATACAGGGAACCATTTGCAATCGTCTAATAGTCCTCATGTTGACAATAATTAAAAATAAATTCTTTATCAGTGGAGAGTGGATTGTAGTTTCTTTATACATGTTGAGTTTGGGACATTAAAAAAGTAACTTGATAGAGGTTGAATTACCCATAATAATAAATAATAATTACCCATGACTTCCTTCATAGTATGTTCATAGGTTACAAGTCCTTAACCTAACGTATCTGCTGTCAGTATCCCTTTCTAAAAGCTACCAGCACTAGGTTTCAGTAGGTTTCATGTGGTTATCTAAGTTAGTAGCAAACCCTTCTGGCACCAGTCTGAAGTGTCTGCTTAAAGTAGGGACACACATAAAGACAGCTCTCTGAATATGATTGATGATGCTATGATATATGATGATTCACCTTTTTCCCCAGGATAGCCAAGTCATGCCCTACTGACACTGCTGCCTTTAAAGACCAAGTGCTCTTACATTGTTTCTATTTCTATTTACACTCATAATGCTGCATTTATAAGGACACATATTAAACAAAGACTAACTCTAGCTAGCTACCAGCTAATGTACGTTATCGCTAACGTTATCTGACGTTAGATAGTTTCCATATAATAAATAGATAAATAATGTGTGTGTTTATGTGTAAGGGTCTGGAGGACGAGCACACTGCTGGAGCTCAGTCACATAGGTGTTCACAGCATGCGGAAAACGAGTCCTCTCTAGTTTTCATGTCTAACGTTTACATAATTAACACTGTACCAAACGTTGCTGCTTAACATACTTGTGTGAAGACATTCTCACCTTGTTTACAGCGGACAGGTTATACGACTCCGCTCACTGTACTTCCGTAAACGTCATAAAAAACTGTCGCCAATTGGACGTAGGTGCGCTCCATTAATCCTTTGGCGTTTCCCCTCACATTCGGACAGGCGGAGTCTGAACTCCTACACTGAAATCATAAGACAATGTTTATTCTTCTATAACTGCAGTGTGTTACTGCTGTAACTGTAACGTTTTACTCATATTTAACATAACCACTCATATTGCACATTTACAGGGCAACAGGAATCACTTAGATTTATTCCCCTAGATTTTACTGATGGTGCATGTTACAGTAGCTCAAGAAACAACACAACACAATGAGTTAGAAAGTACACATTACATTAAAAAAAGTCGCAGAGGTGAATTGCTCAGCAGTTATGGCGTGCATACCAATGGTGCATAATAATTACAGAGGAATAATAACACAGAGGGCCATCAGTACTGCTGAGATATATAAATATTTATGTATATCAGAATCAGAATCAGAAATACTTTAATAATCCCAGGGGGAAATTATTTTTGTTACAAACTCCAGATAACCAAACAACAAATATTAAGAACATGTATA